TGTGGGCACCATCCAGTCTACCTACAGAACCCACCGTGGGCACTATCCAGTCTACCTACAGAACCCACCGTGGGCACTATCCAGTCTACCTACAGAACCCACCGTGGGCACTATCCAGTATATCTACAGATTCATCACAAACATAATTTTAATTACATAAACAAATGATGGTTTCAAAGATTGAATGTTCCAAACAAAGATCTTACTCCTTTACATGCTTCCTTAGCTTCCTTTGAGAGAGATTTGGGGTAAGAGACATTGTGGTCAGTTATGGAGGCAAACAGTTCTTCCTCATCTTCTCCATCAAACGGTGGCTATTGGTGTAAAATCACACATTAGTAAATCACTGTATACTTTATTAACCTAAGTACATAGCTTAGTCATAATAAATTGGCACAAAGGATACGACTTTTCACTTGTAATGATAAGCTATGCACATGTTTATCTTAGTTAACTCTCTCCACACGGGCTTGGTCAATTTGACCTACCACGTGACCTTTTCGTACCTGTACAGGCTTTTATAGATTTGATACTACTGTTTCATATAGTGAGTATATCTTCACGAAATTTAGCAGTCTTTCAGTAAACATTATATTCCTTTCACACACAAAAAATTATACTTTTTCGCAAAATCCTTGAATATATCAAGTATTTATTTTGAATACACCGTGTGCAAAGTGATTTTCATGTTAAGATTAAAATTAATTTTCTTTATCTCAAAAGTCTTAAATTCATTTGCGTAATCTCTAAATCCTCCGAAATAAATTTCAAATGTCCGTTTTCAGTAGAACTTTATATTTTATCTGTTATTATCTCTACCCTAACTCTACACAAGGTTGGTCACTTTCAGTGACCTCGTAACCAAACACAAAATGAAATAAATCTAAATTACCCTCCTTTTCTTTCTAGAATGACTTCAAATGTAGCGTAAAACTACATTAGTTTATCCTAAGTAACTTTAAACTCGTACCATCTATTCATAATTAAACTTTATTGTTTTATTGCCCTTTAAACCGTGTCTAATTACTATTTGTGCCATTATATGTTGTAAATCACTTGGGGAATGTGAAGGTCACGTTACACTATTGAATTACATTACCCACGACCTACTCCAAGCTGTTTGCATGCCTCACGAAATATTTTTTTACTTAATCTAACCTTAACTAACCTAACGAGATTTCTATTTTTACATTTTAGTTACTTTTATAATAACAAATAAAGAATACACATAAAAAAACAAGAAATAAAGTACTTACCCGGGTATTCTTTTTTATGCTCTCGACTATTGACAACAGTTAACCCTACTTTTTTGAAACTAATGGTAGTAGTGCATTAAATAATTTTTATTTAAATAAATAATGCACCACAGAACATAGAATAATAACATGCAAAGAATTTCCTCTAACAATCATATTATTTCTGGCTTTCTAACTATGCGATAAAAGCTGTTATAAATGCATCCAAGCTAGCCATTGTGATTTCCGTGGGAACCAAAGTTGAATTAGAAGTGAAATTAATTATTCTGTGTTCAGAACACAGTATTATACACATTTGATTGATGAAAACCTTGACTTTCTATTGGTTATAGTTAATATATAATTAAGTGTAAAAGATAACTATTAACAAATCCTGAAAGAGAGAACATGACAGGTGGGTGTGGCCAGAGGGGTCTGATGTTGACTTTCTATTGGTTATAGTTAATATATAATTAAGTGTAAGAGATAACTATCAACAAATCCTGAAAGAGAGGACGTGACAGGTGGGTGTGGCAGGAGGGGTCTGATTTTCTATTTGATAGCCCTGTAACCAAACAAAATTGAAGGAGATAAAAAATTATGGTTTGTCTGAGCAATGACGATTTTATAGCGAGCAATTTACATTTAATTTCGTAGTTTCAGGGTCGGGGGGGGAATAAAATAGTGATGAGAAGATACCTAAAGAAAATGTGTCACATTAGGGGAAATTCAGGATTTTTTTAAAATATTGCCTTATAAAATTAAGAATTTAAAACTTGTACACTATTAAAATAAGGATTATTAGCTAAGATTTGATGCTATTCTAATTGGTATAACATAAACAAAAAGTAGTTTAATAAAATTTTGAATGGAAGACACTCAAACCTTGTGTCCTGCACAGTAAAGGATATGAGGGGCGAGAAGGTTAACTTCTTTTCACCGTGAATGCATCTTTATCATACAATAAGAAGGATTGTAAAGTGAGCCCCCAAATGGAATGACCAGAGTTCATAGTTGTAAAATATATATTGATATAGTTGTATGCTTTACTTGACTTTACAAACATTAAAAAAACAATAAACATAGCATACATCTTATTTAACTATTGTAAAATTACAAGACTTTACTTTCATAATGATTTATTAATTAAGGTAATTACCCTAACTTGTACTACCATCACCTACAGTCCAGATATCATCTTCGTGGAACATAGCATCCACATCAGGTATCTGTTCAATCAGTACAAAGTCAGAACACGTATGTGTTTCTATACACACAGACGCACATATACGCCGCACGCGCACGCACACACACACACACACACACATATATATATATATATATATATATTAGATATAAAGAAAGACGAAAAATTTAATAATTTAGTACACATTACCTGTCCAACTAGCATTTCATACAAGAGGACCCCATAGGCCCACCAGTCCACTGACTTTCCATATGGCTGATACAGGATAATCTAAAAAATTACATCCATGAGAAAAACTTATTGACAAAGAAAACACGGTAACTTGAATTTTTAAATGTCACACATTACCACCAAAGTTAATAAAGCTGAAACTCTTAAATATTCTGGAATTAAATAACAATCTTTTCTATTCCTTGATATATTGATTTCAAAAGATCCACCAATGACAGTCTGTGTTTTTCTATATTATTCCCCACCCACCCACAAGTCAAAATACGACCACTTATGGTACCATATGAAATTTGGGTCCAACTTTAGAGTCTCACAAAATATCATACTCTTGAATCCATTCTATGCTCTGCTTACACTGCTTTTTTATAAATTTGCATTATAACCTATTAAATGTTCTTTTGTAAAACCACTAAGTTTTATTAAAGAAATTTACCAAGTTCAGAGCAAAGATAAATGCAAATTTGATACTGAAAATATTATGGAAGTCCTAACCAATATCTGAATTATAAACTTTCCTAAAACTATTGTTATGAGAACTTTCAGTTCAATAAATGACCTTTAATATATGCATGTTTTTTTGTTTTCGTATTTTTTTTTTGGGGGGGGGGGTCCCCACAGATATAAAAGAATTCTAAACAAACATTCTAGCAAGCTAACCTCGGGTGCAATGTAATCCGGTGTACCACAAAATGTTTTAGTGGTTTTCTCTTCTTTGATACCTTCCTTACACATACCAAAATCTGCTATTTTGATGTGACCATCTTGGTCGAGAAGGACATTGTCTAGCTTTAGGTCTCTGAAGAGAAAGAAGTAAAACTGATTAGTCTTCTGTAGTTATTTAGTCAGATATTGCAACTAATGATTTGGTTTTATCACAAATCAAACAGCTACAGACTACAACTGAAATACACACATGATGATGAACTGACTTGATTAGATTTTATCAAACCTTACCTATACACAACTCCTCGGCTATGGAGGAAGAACAATCCTATCGCTATCTCTGAAGCATAGAACCTGAAAGAAATACAAATATTTAGAAGTTTATTCTCCATTTTTTTAAATGTGTAGTTAAGTGAAGTTAAACTACAACCACATAATATCCATACATCCTACAGCAACTGAAAAAAAGTTAAAAGTGTGTATACTGGCACGATAACACCTTGAAGGGTTTTTATTTACATTAAAAAAAAAATACATTTTGACAGGTCATTGTGTAGTTGTCTAAATACGTAACAAGTTATACATACTAAATGTTTCTTGATGGATAGTTATACATATGTTTACCATGGGGGAGTGTGTCCTAAGTAAGTCCACTATTTCTATCCCCAGGGTCCATGTTGGTGTGTACTTAGTATACCCCTGCCACATGTAAACATACAGTATCCTTGACTTCTCACAATTTTGTTTGTCATGGTCCTGCAATGTTTCCAACTTAAATAACTACATATTGATTCACCAGGGGGCAGCATAAGCTAGGCAGTATTCCATCAAACATGCCTGTGATGGTTGTTTCAAACTTAAATAACTACATATTGATTCACCAGGGGAGCAGCATAAGCTAGGCAGTATTCCATCAAACATGCCTGTGATGGTTGTTTCCAACTTAAATAATTACATATTGATTCACCAGGGGGCAGCATAAGCTAGGCAATATTCCATCAAACATGCCTGTGATGGTTGCTATTATTTTGTTGAAGCTATAAATTCTCCCTTAATCACCTGCGTGGCATAAACTACTATATGGAAACATACGTTGATAAACAGCAGAGCAAACAAGGGAACTTGTTCATATCAAGAGTGGAAACGTACGTTGATAAACAGCAGAGCAAACAAGGGAACTTGTTCATATCAAGAGTGGAAACTTGCGTTGATAAACAGCAGAGCAAACAAGGGAACTTGTTCATATCATAAATGATGATTAAACAGGAAACTCAAGCTCTGGTGAATACCTCAAAAGTTTAGATATAGACAACAAATCTAGTAAATTCTCATTGCATGATAATCTGGGAACAAATCCAAAGTGTAAAAAAAAAATGCATGCATAATAAGATGTTTTAGTTACTATACCTCTGACCTACTTCTAAAAATTGAATTTGAACCAATGCTGCATTCAACATACCACATGATGCACAAAAATTGATATTTAGGTATGTTCTTATAATATTTACTTTTAAATTAAGAAATTAACGAATGTATAATACTAAACTTTAAATTATAGTCTACAATTTCATACCAAACTTATTGACATAAGTTCATAAAATAGAAGTTCAATAAAATTTTGAATGTAAGTCAACATACGCGATGACATGGCCTTTGACCCATGACAATAGGGTTAACAAACATCTTCAGTGGTAATAAACTTAACCAATGGGGAAAAAATGCAAACTGAGAAATAGGTACACAGTCTTTGGTATAGACTTGTATACGTCACTGATTAGTACTGTGTTCAGTCTTGGGCTCCTTACCTTAGGAAAGACATTGAATTGTTAAAAAGGGTTCAGAGGAAGGCTACTAGAATGGTGCCTGGGATGGAGGGGTTGTCATATGAGGAGAGGTTCAGATCTCTGAAATTGCTTTCTCTTGAAAAATGAAGAGTTAGATGGGGATCAGATTGAGGTGTTTAAGATTGTAAAGGGAATTGATAGTGTTGATGCATCATCTTTTTCACGTGTAATGGTGAGAATAGTAGGACACAAATATAAATTGTGGCAGAGTAGGAATCATTTTCAGCTAAGACCATTTTATTTTTCTAACAGGGTGGTTGGCCTTTAGAATGGGTTGCCTTCAGAAGTTGTGTAGGCAGTAAGTGTAAGTGAGTTTAAGAGAAAGCTTAATAACTACATAAATGATAAGGGCTGGCTTTGAGGATGTATTTTTTTTTATTGAATAGTTTTAGTTTAGAGTATGGGATAGGCTAAATGGACCAATAGATCCCTTCTTGTCCCTAAACGTTATGTTAACTTTCCAGATTAGTTTCACACTTGTCATTACCTAAAATTATGTTCACAATGTATACAGTAAAATGTTTCTTGTACATATTAAGTTAGACAATCATCAGGGACTCTCCACCCCCAACTTTGCACAGAATTCTGTATACACCACTGTTCAGCTCATAACCAGCAAGGAAACATAGTTATGAGTCATGCCAAACCTTACCAGACCACCTACGTGATGAGGAAAACCACTGATTAGATATTTTCAACTAATATGTAACACATCTGGTGGCTTAGCATTAAGTTTATAGAACTGCAATGTGAAACTCTAGTGGTCCATTCTCCATAATGGACAGAGCCACTGACAGCCCATTGTCCAACCCCGAGTAGAAAAAACTTTATATATAAAGTGTTAGTAACTGATGATAACTACACGCACTTACACGGCTACAGGTTCTTTAAATTTTCCACACTGCTGAATTTGAAACATGAGATCACCTCCATTCACGTACTCCATGACAAAGTAGAGTCGGTCCTGTAATGTGAACAAATCTTTACTCTGCTTACAGCATACAGGAAAATAGTATGGTTACAATTCTAACAAGCGTAAGTGATATATTAAACGTTTAGTTTCTTCTTCCACAACTAATATTTCTAATTTAATTATTCTCCTTGTGGCTTTACTTAAAAGTACAAATAAAATACACAAGTTACAGTTTCAATAGTAAATATCTGTAATAAGTTTCTAAAAACATTACTGAATATACAGAAACTTTCATAACGATTAATTTCCAGATGACAAGAAGTTGGATACTACTGCACATGAAATAAGAGTTAAGAAAGCAAGTCAGATTTATAGTTTATTGTCCAAAACACAGTAATACAAACAACCCAACTTAGAGCTAGAATATTATATGTGCAGTGCAGCAAGCACCCAAGCTAATAAACATATATTTTCAGTGTCAGTTAAGATTTATACAAAACTTAACGACAAAAAAAATGTTTACAAACATTTTTCAATAATTCGCTCACTGATAACTATGAAATAAAATTAGACTTGCTAAAACAAGTCAAGTATTTCCTCAACAAATTCAAATTTACCTCACTTGAAAAACAATTCTACATAAGCAACTGAAAAGTTAACATTAAAAGTCTAGTATACAAATAATAAAATTAATATAGTTAAAGTAATAAATATAGATTTTTCAAACATATAGTAAACTATATTACTTTTATTACATAAGCCTAAACTAAATAGATATAAAAAGTTAAATATGATGCAACAACGTTAACTATAAATGTTATGTTTAAAAAAAAACACCTTCTATGAAATACAAAAAAGTAACCAATAAAAAAAAACACCTTCTATCAAATACAAAAAAAGTAACCAATAAAAAAAACACTATTTCTCATCACAAAATGAATCATTTCCAGCCTAGAATTTAGCCTATGAGAAGAAGACAAACAAAGCGTAATATTTCATTCTTTATCATTTACTATGTCATAAAAAATGTTTATAGTCAAGTGAAATATTTTAAATCTTTTCTTACAAAAATATTAGTGTTAAATATAAAATAGTATTTTCTATTTTTAGAGTAAATAATACAGACTGAAATATTTTAGACATTTTTTAAATAACCTTGAGCTCCAGAGCTTCAGCAGTAGCTATAACCCTTGGTGAAGGTGAAAAACCATAATATTGGAAATTATCAAATGTTTTTTTCCTCATCTGGAGCTAAAGATAATTTATTTCAAGTAAGAAATGTTTCTTCTTACGGTATCACCTGAAAGTGACGAAGCTAATAAAGCTGACCTTAATAACTATACCATTTACCTTGATGCCAGTATGAACTAGCTTTGAAAAATTTACATTTGGCAAGAAAATTACTAATTAATTCCATAAAATCAACTTTTACAATATGGAAATTCTGATATCAATTATAATAATAATAATAATAATAATTATAGTTAGTCTGTATAATTTCCTTGATAACATAAAAAAAAATCAATTATAGAACCACGAACTTCTAACTAGTTACTCACAGACACAGTTTTTAGATTAAGTTACGATGAATGAATAAATAAATAATTAACATAATTTTAATTATAAGTTATACATAATTTTATAATTAAAGACGGATTATAGACTAATGAAAGCAGTTTAGGGTAAACATTATTATTATTAGATATTTCACTATCTTGTATAAGTTTAACTAAAACTACTGAAAAGTTCAACCAACTGATGTATAAAAGCCACAAACTTTTGTGCTTACCATAGTCTGAAAGCAAGAATGTATCTGCACAAGAAAATTTGGTTTGCTAGCCAAAGCAAGAACTCTTTTTTCCACCATCGCACATTCAACATCATCATCTTGAATAATGATGTCTTTCTTGAGTATCTTGATGGCATACAGCTCATCTGTTCCCTTTCTCTCAGCCAGCATAACCTACATCAATGACAAGGCTTAACTGTGAATATTACCGCATTATCACTATACACATTAGTTGAATAATTCAACCATGAACATGATGTCAAAAAAATAAATGGAACCTATGCACGAACAGGATATTAAAAAATAAATAGAACCTATGCATGAACAGGATATTAAAAAATAAATAGAACCTATGCATGAACAGGATATTAAAAAATAAATAGAACCTATGCACGAACAGGATATTAAAAAATAAATAAAACCTATGCACGAACAGGATATTAAAAAATAAAATCTAGTCACTTAAGCATTCAGAAAAAAAATTCAGTTCCTTGGAAAATAACAAATCTTTTCATGAAAAAACAACAACTTAATTTGAACCTACACAGCCTCATTCTTTTATGATAATAACAACTTAGCACAAAGTGCAATGACATGGTAGCAGTTAACTAAAAATAAAAATCTGAAACAGAATTCAGTTATCTTATAGTGCACAGAAGATTGATGTCCAAAATTTAGAATGCATTTCGGTCAGTCTCCCTACAACTCGGTGATTAAGAAGAAGAGTCACGAGAAAGATTAGGACATCCGCTCCTTACCAGAATGGGACATACGGAAGAATGGTCACAATTTCTTTTTTTAATTGTATTAAATAATACAAAGAAAACACGTTTGGATGTTTAAGCCACAAGCTACAATAAATACTGCAGCAACAACAGCTATAATTTTACAACAACTATAATTTTGAGAGTAAGTTAATTATGTTTTGAGGGAAACAAACTATGTGAACCAGTCTGCACTTTGTTTATTACGGTAATCGGAAAGAAAAAACACAGAATTTCCATCATAAAACCTTCTAACTTATACACGCAAGTTTCAACTCGTTCTATGATATAATGCAAGTATTTTCATTTCTTAAGATAAAAAAACTGGTGTAGTTTACTTTATTATTATATATTGACATGTTATTAACCTTGGGCTTTGAAAAACTTAGCATTTCCCTAAAACACTATCCTGCAGTATCCAAAAATCATTATATAGGTTCTACAGGTACTTGTAGTATCTGTCTAATTACATACAATTTTCAAGAACAAACTAGTGTTTCATGCACAGTTATGAAATGAAACCAAGCTACATAGACGGTATCTAGTTAGCAAATAAATGTGAAATATCCAAGTAAAAACTATTATTACAGGCAGCATCCGAGTATGAGCTAAAATACAATTAAACAGAGCATGTTAAATACTAAGTATTAGTTAAAAAAACTACATACAGCAACTAGTATGTGAATCAAATGTTAAATACAACAATATACTTGTTCATGAAATAGAATTTTCCAATTAAACTTAGTCAATAATCAACATACAACAGCTTGGAACTGGGTAAAAATACACATAATATTCAAATAACAGCTGCCTTACTTAACTTGTTACAAGCAGGACCCGACTAATAACAGAATTAGATGAGAGATACAGAGTCAGTTTAAGTACACATAACATCCACGAAATACCTAGTTAACTACATATTAAAATGTGGTATACAAGTTTTAAGCAGGAAATGCAAAACTGTACATATATATATTATTATTATTATTATTATTATTATAATAAAGAATAAGAAGAGATTGGACAGTTATGTTCCAGGACTATTGGTTTTGTGAAATATAGAAACACCCTAGTAACTGAACATGAACCAATGGTCCTAGTTTGAAGACTTACCTTCCCAAAGCTCCCTTTTCCAAGTACCATAATAAAGTTAAAATCAGAAGCCCTGATGATGTCCTGTTTACCCATATTGTGTGGTATATCTGTCATGTCTGATGGTTGATCCGATTTCTTGGTGGCCAAAGACATCCTGCTCTGTAAGGAAAGTATTAATAATAATAACAAACAGAGAGAGAAAAAGTTCTAAAATCAGCCAAGTACGATTTATAATATTCTCTTTAGCAATGACATAAAAAAGAACAAGATTTTATGCTTTGGAGTTTCTCAACAAGTCGTACTCTTAATTTTTTTGTTGTATCCAGATTGCTCTTCAAAATCAAATCAAATAATAAAAATCTTACAACTTAAAAATTGTTTAAAAAAGGATTAACATTAGTAAAATTAAGGTTTTTTTAAATTAAAATACATAAAACATACCTTATCAATTCAAGACTACAATAAAAAATATGTTAATACTATATTTAGTTTGTTTTTTTTTGGGGGGGGGGGAGGTCCCGTTTAGAATTTAAACTTGCTTTTAAAAAAATGTTTTCATAATTTGTTACATTTATGTTTGTTTTAATTATGCACAAAGCTACACAAGGGCTATCTGTGCTCTGCCCACCACGGGTATCGAAACCCGGTTTCTAGCGTTGCAAGTCAGCAGACATACTGCTGTGCCACTGTCACGTCTCTCATTTCCCAAACCCATGCAAATAATTTATATTTACTTAGGGATTGATGAAATGAAAAAAAAATCACAATCAAATTAAAATGACTTAATCAAAGATATATTTTTTGGTATTATTGAAAAAATTATTAATTAACAGCTGATAGTTTAATATTAACAAGTCTCCATATATACAACTTTTTTCCAGCTGTTTAACTCTGTATATCAGATTTTTTATCCAAAGCAGAAAACAGACAAAGCTATTTAAATCATACTCAGATATTAAGAAACACGATTATCAACTTTTAAGAGAATTGTCTTTTAATTCTGATAAAAAGTAGGTAAGTCATTACTAGCCACAAAGGCATCATTACTGACTATCAAGGCATTGTTACAGGCCAGGGTGGAATCATTACTGACCAGAGTGGCATCATTACTAAACATCAAGGCACTGTTAGAGACCAGGGTGGCATCATTACTGACTGTTGATGCATTGTTACACGCCAGAGTGGCATCATTACTGACTGTTGATGCATTGTTACACGCCAGAGTGGCATCATTACTGACTGTTGATGCATTGTTACATGCCAGAGTGGCATCATTACTGACTGTTGATGCATTGTTACAGGCCAGAGTGGCATCATTACTAAACATCAAGGCATTGTTACAGGCCAGAGTGGCATCATTACTAAACATCAAGGCATTGTTACTGACCAGAGTGGCATCATTACTAAACATCAAGGCATTGTTACTGACCAGAGTGGCATCATTACTGAGTGTTGACTCATTGTTACAGGCCAGGGTGGCATCATTACTGACCAGAGTTTCATCATTACTAAACATCAAGGCATTGTTACTGGCCATGAAGACATCACTACCAAATGCCATGAAAAACACAGAAAAAGCTATGTCAGTCATACCCACAGAGAAACACAGTTATTAACTTTCAAGAGAGGACTGTCACTTCATTTTGACAAAAAGAAGAAGGTTAATCATTATTGGCCAGAGCATCATCATTACCAAAAATCGAGGTATTGCTAATGGTCCCAAAAGCATCATTACTAAACATCAAGGTATTGTTAAGAGACCAGAGTGGCATCATTACTAAACATCAAGGCATTGTTAAGAGACCAGAGTGGCATCATTACTAAACATCAAGGTATTGTTACTGGCCACGAAGACATCACTACCAAATGCCATGAAAAACACAGAAACAGTTATTAACTTTCAAGAGAGGACTGTCACTTCATTTTGACAAAAAGAAGAAGGTTAATCATTATTGGTCAGATCATCATCATTACCAAAAATCGAGGTACTGCTAATGGCCCCAAAAGCATCATTACCAACTACCATGGCATTTTACTGGCCATTTTAACATCAAGTGATTATATGGCCCCCCGTACAGACAAAGCAAGTTAGGCTAACTTTCACGGTTATTATATGATAAGCCATACTAATACATGCATAATTTCACAACTATAGCTGTAACCAGATAAACTGAAACCATCTTATACATTCACTGTTAGCTATAATAACTAATTTCCTGACATCAATACTAATATTTTTGAATGAGATATCATAATTTATTCTAGACGCATTAATACCGTGTGCTGATGGTCTCTTCAACACACACTTATAACATATACTCCTAAAAACATTTTGAGATGTACGTGATAATAACTACATATGATCATCTTCAAAAAAGAAAAATGTTATTTATAAAGCACATTTGAAAAAGTTACTCAGCTGTTCAGGTTTCAATGAGCAGTTTGAAAAAGTTTGTTATACCATATTATTAGCAACATTCTAAATATTTTCTTTTACAGATGCTCTTGTTAAATCTGGATAACAAGTAAAAGTTCCCAACACACACAAAAAAAAAAGCTTTCTAGTACCTTTATGTGAGTTCTCAGGCCTGAGGTGTCACCATTTTCTGGTGGCACGGGTGCATTGTAGAATTCACCTTCCTCAGCAGTCAACAGCTTATACCATCCTTCGACAGGGTTCTTGATAACCTCAGAGATGCCAAACGACAGAGAACCCATGAAGTCATTTCTAGAAGTTCTGTCCCAATCCCACACCTCTATCAAAAGTCGACGGTCTTTGTCCTCAGGCTTGAGATCACTAAAATAGTACAATCACAATAGTACAATAAAAGTTTTAAAAATTATGAAGTTTCAGGCACATTAATTAAAACCTGAGTAACCACATGTAACACCTTCAAAAAGTTGACGACTCTACATGTTTCAACATCATCCTCAGGAATCGAAACATGTAGAGTCGTCAACTTTTTGAAGGCCATAGATAGGC